TTCCGCTTTGGATGTCAACACTTCAGTCATAATCAATGCCAAGATGACGATCGAATTTTCTCCGTGAGTTGAGCCTGTTGTCCAGACTGGGAGGTATGCTCTGCTTGTTGTTCAAAAACAGAAACTTAATGCAACCGGAAAACTCTCCCGGGGAAAAAAAACCCAAACATGATTTTGTTTAGTCGCTTTAACTGTGCAAAAATGATCTAAATCAAAAGGAGTGATCTCGGCGGAGTTTCATACCCAGTTGAACTCTTTATCTGAGCACATAAAGATTGAACTTTTAAACCGAAAAACTAGACAGAAAGGCGCTCAAACCTTACAAATAATCGACGTAATTTATTAGTATTTAAGGCAACACTGCACCCTTTCAGTGTCGTTCGCCCGGTAATTCAAATGAAAAATGCGTCCATTGGGTTGTTTCGTTGTCAGAGGATTTTTTTCCTGGTATGTTCTCAATCATTGATACAAGCAAACTGATCAAAAAAAAAAGGGACAAAAAAAAAAAGGGGGAAAATCCAAGTTCAGTCAAGCGAACATGAACTTTTGACCCTCCGAGGGATGCTCTACGACTGAGGCTCTGCAAGACTCAGGGTAGCCGGTTTTATATAAAAAAAAAAAAAAGCTCTGCACACCGATTGGACATGAAATTGAATTTGAAGCTTTTGTGAAACTGACTGGAAATGAACTGTGTAGTATTCGACGCCTGATTCTTACCTGTCGTTCTGCCACCACTTTCCACAAGTCCACAATGTCTCCTAGTTTCTTTGCTTCTATAGCAGATACTGCTTCGTCAGTCCAAGTGTTGCAAAGATCCAGTTGCGTTATGCCTGATTCAGAGACGAAGAGTCAGTCATAGGACTATACAATCGACGAACAAAGTCTGTCCTGTGACATGCAAAATGTTATGAAAGAAAATGGTAGTAGTCCTGTGGCTCATGAATTGAATTACACGCATGCGTAAGTGTCAGTGAAAAAAGAAACCGGTTCCTGGTTCAATAAATTTCTCTAGGAAAATTGATTTTTTTGTGGGAGAACATAACATTGATACATTAGGAGCGAGCTTAGGAACACTGGAAAACGTTCATTGGTCTTCGTTTGACGAGATAATTACAAACCTCCTATAGTGACCATGAAAAACGGCAATGCAATTAATTATGGTGACTGGAAAAACTTTCCGTATTTAAACAATTTTGCGCAACATTCTCGGTAAATTCGAGTATCTTTTTAACACTTTAGAGCATATTGTGGACAGCCCCGATTTTAGGTCCTTTCAGTCTGAATAAGAGGACAACAGGTGCAGCGCTGGGTAGATCACAGAGGTACAAGGACGGTTCTTCATAAGAGAAAAAATTTGAGGCAAACCAACCATTATGTACATTCTTAAAGCACCTAAAGGGAATTGACAAAACACCATGAGCAGAGAAGCCACTGTACTGGTGTTATATGAATTTTCTTGGAACGTCTGCAAGTGCGTTTCGTGACGCATGACCGGTCAAATATTGGCTTCAAACAGACTGGTGAAAAGAGTAAAACGTTATCTCTTAATGTGATATAAACATACCCATATACTCGACTCGAGACCACAAGAAGTAATACAATCCCTCTTTGGTCACGCTTTCCACATGAGTCGCGTCCAGGCTCCGATTACATCTCTCGGCAACAGTTCCAGCGAAATCCTCATAGGGTCTAAAAGGTTTCACCTCGGTTGTGATGCGAACGTCCGCTGATTGTTGCTTTAACAGAGTCGCAAAGCAAATGTCCAGTTGTCCTGGTGACTCTACACTGAGAACTGGAATGATACAAAATAAAAGAGGGAAATTAGATTCGCAAGGATAAAATTTTAATTTTAAGTAACGTCATGGGCTCCTGGCAATGTATAAGATGAAAGATGAACCACCCTGAAAGCGAAGGGTGGTGGTGGGGAGGGGGGGGGGGGG